ACACACACACACACACACACACACACACACACACACACACACACACAGAGTCAGGCATGGCTCCCTCTCATTTAGCTCCACAAGTGTTTGTGGAGTGCCCACTTTGTGCCCAGCACTGGGCATGAAAGAAGGACTCAACATGGTTGGAGCCCCAGAGGCCCCAAAAATCCAACTGGAGAAACAAGATGTGCCCAATCGGAACGATCCAAGAGAGTCTGTAATTTATCTAGATGAGTGGTCCATGAATTGGAAGGAAGGTCAGAGAAGAAAGAGGATTGTGTATTCTGGAGCAGAAGTAGAGACTCCTGTATCTGGAGCAGGAAGGGGCCTCAAGCGCCCTCAAGGCTAACCAGCTCCCTCATTTTAAAGAAGAGGAAACTGAGGCCCGGGAAGAGGAAGTGACTTAGATCCTAGGTCTGGAGCTGGAAGGGTCCTTGAAAGCTGTCTGATCCAATCCTCTTATCTCTTTTTGTTTTTAAAAATGATTTATTTGTTTATTTTTATCACTCATTTAATTGAAAAAAGTCAAAGTGAAATGCTCGTCTGCAGTGTTTCCCCTGATATGTGCCTGAGAAGTGAACCTGTGTCCAAGGTCACTGCTGGACCCTGGGCAGCCTGATCTTCCCATCCCTCTCCCACTGAACCCCAGGGGTTCAGGGACAGTTGATGAAGGAGGCAGGACTGGGTCATGGAGTATCAGTTGAATGTGTGTTGTCATGACTCCCATTTGCAGGACACTTTGAAGGCTTGCAAAGTACTTCCCCCACCACAGCTGGGGGTGTTTCACTGTCCCAACTTTATAAACAAGGAAGGCAAAAGGTTCTGGGAGTCAAATGGCTTGCCCCAGGTCATTCAGTTAGTAAATGTTGGAGGCGCACAGATTCAAACCCAGGTCTCTTGACTCTTGAAGCCCAGCCAGCCATGGATCCATGATGTCACGCTGATTCTAAGGCAGAGCAAGCAGAGGGGTCAGCAGGCAGTCCAGGCGGGGAGGACAGCATGATTGGAGGCGAGGGTCATCCAGAAATGACCCCAGGCCAGAAGAGGCCTGCCTTTTACAGCCATCAGCTGGCACGCCTCCATCTGGAGATCTCCCATCTGATACTTCATCTTTATTGGATGGTAGCCCCTTTGGTCTTTGGCTAAATTCCCCCTTCCTCTCAGTGAACCCCAAGACAGAGGTTCACTTTTTCATAATGGTGTTAATTTCACTTTGAGGGGAGCCATGATGTAGTAGCTTGGGCACTGGACTTAGAGTCAGTGAGACCTGGGTTAAAATCCTTCCCCAGACCCTTACCAGCTGGGCAACCCTGGGCAAGTCCCTTCGCCTCCGTGGGTCTCATTTTCCCCATCTGTAAAACGAGAGGGTTGAAATCTAAGGGTCCTTCCTGCTCTAATCCTATGATCATCCCTTAATAAGGCTAAGAAAATAAAATCAATTTTCAGAGCACAGCCTTGTTGAATGCCATCCCCATTTCAGGAGCCAGTCACACTTCTGCCTTGACAGAGTGAGCCCTACGGGCTCCTCTCCCCGACCACGTCCCAGATACATTGTTGCTCCTTTGTTAGCTGGCTTCTCTTCTGTTCCATCTCTTCACTTCTTCTGGGGCCGGTGCTCAAAGGGGCTGTTCATTTTCCATATTCCCCAAGCCACGGTTCCCCTCCCCCACTAGGGAAGCATTCCCCAAAGTCCCTTCGTGGTTGCCATTGTTCCATGTTCCTCAGTTGTTGATATTGCTGTCCACAGCAAGGGAAGGGGTGGTTCATTCCAAGGACCCATTGCTTTAGGATGATGCCCAGAGATAGGAAGCGTCTAAGGCAGGGTTTGAACTTAGGTCTTCCTGACTTCAGGCAGCCCGGATGGCTCTGGGCTTTAGGGGCCATGAGATTTCTGGGCCAGGTATCTCTCAGAACATCCTCCAGACTGAAGCTAGAGCCTCCCTGGCCTGGGAACCTCTTTGGAATGGCCCAGAGGGGGCTTATTCCCTGGCAGGGGTGTACTACGCCAGTAGTACTCGGTGTCCTCTTGAAGGCTACCCTCATATACTGTGCACTTACTGTCTGTGGTGTTTTCTAATGGTTTCGTGGCTACTCCTCATGTCACTCCAATTAAGCTGTAAATGCCATGAGGATAGTGATTCTTTTTTTGTGTGTGTTTGTTTTTTTTGTTTTGTTTTGTTTTTGTTTTGTTTTGTTTTTTGGGGCAATTGGGATTAAGTGACTTGCCCAGGGTCACACAGCTAGTAAGTGTCAAGTGTTTGGTCTGAGGCCGGATTTGAACTCAGGTCCTCCTGACTTCAGGGCCAGTGCTCTATCTACTGCGCCACCTAGCTGCCCCCAAGATAATGATTCTTAATACTTTTTTTGTAACTCTCTTTTCCCATACATACATACAAACATTCATATATAACATACACATGTGTGCACATGCACACACAATACACATGTGCACATATACACATAATACACACACACACTGCCCAGAACAGTGCTGGGCACAAAGTAAATAATTTTGGTAATATAACCTGAGGCTCCAAACCCCACAAATATCCTGGGATGAAGTGGTCTAATACTGAGGGTCTAAACTGATAATTATTTTCTCTCTGGCTTCTTATTCCCCAACCCTGGAGTTCACTCCAAAGGAAATCTCCAACATGTATGTTAGGTACACCTTATGTTTTTGTTGTTGTTCAGTCATTTTTCAGTCATGTCCAGCTCTTTGTTGACCCCATTTGGGGTTTTCTTGGCAAAGATCCTGGAGTGGTTTGCCATTTCCTTCTCCAGTTCATTTTACAGATGAGGATACTGAGGCAAACAGGGTGAAGTGACTTGTGACCCTGTACAAGGATCCTGTACAAGGTTAGCTGGGAGGTGTCTGAGGTTAGATTTGAACTCATGTAGATGAATCTTCCTGATTTTAGGTCTGGCACTCTATCCACTGTGCCACCTAGATGCCCACAGCTTATGTTTAGGTCTCCCCGAATGTAAGTAATAGGATCCTTGCTCCTGTAAATGCCCTCAAGGTAGCAACAATACATATGAGGTAGGACAGTCTTCATTTCACTGCCCAGAAAATGCAGAAGACACTGGGCTCACCAATAGATAGAGAAACACATAAAATACTCACATAGCCCATAAGCTCCCCTCAAAAAGGAATTAAACTTGAGGGGGACAGCCACACTTGTGTGATCGTCTTTGTCCCAGTAGGGCACTAGGTAGTCAAGCCCCCTGATTTTATGGATGAAGAAATTGCAGCCAGGGACGTCATGCCTCGCCCAAGGTCACAGTAATGCCAGGGGCAGGATTTGAACCCAAACCTCCTTGACTCTGGAACTGTGGATTGGGGAATCTCATTAGGTAAATCAGGGATCACACCCCTGGCCCCCTCATAGTATGAATGATGCACCAGTGCTTTGTGGGTTATAGAATGCTTCACTCACAGCATCCCTTTGGGGGATAGGTCATATTTCATCTGTTGTCCCTACTTTATACCAGAGGCTCAGAGGGGTTTTGCAGCCAGACCAAGATTTAAACAACAGGTCTCCTTATTCCACATTTGGGGCTCTTGGGACTCCATCACTCTCCTCTCATCATGCCACACAGGTTGCTTCTCCAATACTGCCATTTTGATTGGCAGAAGCTGTTAATGGTGGCTAACCTAACAGCTCATGCCCTCCTGTGTCTCCCCCACTGTCTCTTTGCAGGAAACACCAGCAGTATGACTGCAAGTGGTACATCCCGCTAGCAGACCTGGTTTTCCCATCCCCAGAGGAGTCAGAACCCAGCCCCCAAGTGCACCCCTTCCCGGACCATGAACTGGAGGACATGAAGATGAAGATCTCTGCTCTCAAGAGTGAAATCCAGAAGGAGGTAAGAAGAATTAGTGACCCCCCACACACCCTACCCACACCCTAAAGACCATTGCTGGGAAGCCCAGAAAGGTTTAATAAGAATTGCCTAAGGTCATAGGTTCATAGAGTTGAAGCTGGAAAGGACCTTGGAGGCAATTGAGCATGACCCCTTTATTTTGCAGATAAAGAAACCAAGTCAGGTTTAAATGACTTACCCTGGTTCACACAACTGGTTGTCTGAGGCAGGATTTGAACTTAGTCCTTCATGACTGTCGTCGTACACTGAGCAGGGATTTTCACCCAGGTCCTTTGACTCCCAAGTCCATCAAATAAAATCAGTTACACTGTTGAGAGTACTGGTCAGATAGGGTTATTCATGGAAGGTTTCACAAAGACGTTGAATTTTGAGGGGCTGGCACTACAGAAGAGGGCACTTCGGGCCTCCTTATCGCCTCTAGGTTTAAATAAGCATTTCTCTGTTGGGGACATAGAGCCCTTCACAAACTGGCTCCAGTCTGCCTGTCCAGACTCACACTGTTACCTTTCACGAGCACCAGCCGACCTGACCTTTCTAGTGTTCCTCACATCTGACATTTCAGCTCTCATCCCCTTGAAGGCACTCCTTCCTTGCCTCTGCTGCTTCGAGTCCTGGCTCGCTTCAAAACCCAGCTCAAGCTCTGTCTTTACCTGAGGCCTCTCCTCATTCCCTTCGCTCCCAATACCTTCAGTGGGATGTTATTATATTATATCATATCATATTATCATATCAAATTATTATACTTCTTCTGTACCTACTTATTCATTCATGCTGTCTTCCCAACAGAATATAAGCTCTTTGAGGGCAGGGACTGCTTTGTCTTTGTATTCTTAGCATAGCACAGTGCTTAGCTAGCACATAGTAGGTGCTTAACAAATGCTTGTTAGTTGGTTAGTTGAATGTTCACAGTTTAGTAGTTACTAACACAAAATAAGGCTAGAAATAGTAGGTTGGCATCAGGTTGTGGAAAGCCTTCAGTACCAGGCAGAAGCTTCTCAACTCTGGGTAGGGGAGCCCCTGGGGATTTTTGAGTGGAGAAGTAACAGTTGGCTTTAACTGATTCTGGCAAACCAAGTGAAAGATGGATTGGGAATGTGGAGGTGGAGGAAGGGTAGAGGGTATTGTAGTGGGCAACATGGAAGGCATTGAGACTGTCCGAGGGAGGGTGCACAGATAGACTTTACAGGACGTGGTAAATAAATGGATATAAGAGGTGAGGAGGAAGATAGAGGAATCAAAGGGAGCACCATGGGAGACTAGGCAAATAATGGTGTTCCAGAGAAAAATGGGAAAGTCAGAAGGAAAAATAGATTTCAAAGAAAAATAATGAGTCAAGTTTGTGGTATGTTGCATTTGAGGTGCAAGTGGGACCACCCAGGAGGGATACTAGAGAGACCAGGGAGCAGGAGTTCTGAACCTTTACCCCTCTGGCAGCAGTCTGGTGAAGCCTGTGGACCCTTTCTCAGAATCATATTTTTTAAATGTATAAAATAAAATATGTAGAATTACAAAGATAGCTACTTACTAATATAAAGATGCAGTTGTTTCCAACTAAATTCTCATTCCTTCTGAAATCTAGGGTTTATGGACCCCAGGTTAATCACCTCTGCCCTAGAAGCAGTTGGTGATGAGGGTCTGGAATTTAGGGGTGGAGAGTTAAGTATGAGAGTCATATATACAGAGGATGCAGTTGAAACTAAGGGTGAATGAGAGTGCCTGGAGAGAAAGAAGAGGGCCAAATGCCATCTTAAGGGTTCAGAAAGATGGTGAAGATCCCAAAAAGGAGTAATGAGAGGTGAGAAGAGAGGGCCCAGAAGGAGGCAGTGGCCAGCAGTGTCCAAAGTGGCAGAAAAGTAGATGAGGCCTTTGGGTTTGATGATTATTGGTGCCCTTAACAAGCGATTTCTGTTTGTTTGTTTGTTTGTTTATGTTTGTTGTTGTTTGCTGAGGGGGGCTGGGCAGAGGGGGGAGAGGGAGTTGGGGTTAAGTGATTTGCCCAGGGTCACATAGCTAGTAAGTGTCTGAGGCTGGATTTGAACTCGGGTCCTCCTGACTACAGGGCTGGCGCTCTATCTAGTGTGCCATCTAGCTGCCCCTACAAGCAATTTCTAGAGGGTGGTAGGGGCAGAAGCCCAACTACAAGATGTTCAAGAGAGCAGGTAATGAGCAAGTATTGAGTGTAGATGAGTTGAGTGGGGAAGATCTGGAGAGGAGCGAAGGGACAATGTCTGGAAGGGCTCGAAGTTTCACAGAATGACTTCATTTTAGGGTTGGGGGGGCCTGAGCATATGTATAAGCAGATGGGAAAGGAGAGAGTGCAGAAAGAGAGGCTGAGGATATGAAATAGAGTAGGGATGATAGGCTGCTAGAGCAAAGTCCTGCCAGAGGTGGGAAGGCACAGGATATCTCTGTCCTGTGACTGGAGAGAAGGGGTGATGAGGTTCAGGGGTATATGTCTATCTAGGGAGGAGGGGTTCTTAACCCAAGGCCTGTGAACTTCAAAAACAAAAAAATACATCTTGGTGACTGCATTTCAATTCAGTTGGTTTCCTTTGTAATCCTGTAGATTTGTGTATGGAAAAACATGATGACTAGGTCCTAATTAGTGCAAACAATGAGTCACATTATCGGAACACGCTCATTGGGCTGAAACCTGTGACCATATTTTCCATATAATTACACTTTGAATAGTGAGGATTCAAATAATGGGACCATATCATTTTCCTGGATTCTTTATTCCTGCTAATTGGGGCCCTGCCATATTGTCACAAGGGGTTTGTAGGCTTTAGCAGAGCGCTGGCAGAGGGGCGCAGGACCCCCAAGCTAGCATCATCTCTGCTGTCTCAGTCTCCGCTCTTCTCCCTACCCATCCTGGTCTAGGTCTGAACAAATCTGGCCCTCCCCTCGGTTCAAGGTTAGAAGTTTTCGAAGGGAAATTTTACTTGGAAACAAAGGGATAAACAGACGACAAAAAGATTTTAGAAGCAGTGTGTAATAATGTATCATCATAATTATTACCATGTAAAATACATCCCTGGTTCCTTCATCTTCATCCTTTCTTATGACACAGTAGTCCCTCCATTTTATTCATGCACTACCATTCCCCAAGAGGGTACCTCCTTTGTTTCCAGATCTTTGCTGCTCCCCACCCCCCAAAGGGACCTGAACCACTTTGGTGTGTAGGCCTGGCATTGAGATCTCTGAATAAACAGGATCAGAGTGATAAGTTTTCAATAAGTAGAAGCGGGGGTGGGGTGCCCTTGGGGTGGGGGCAGCTAGGTGGTGCAGTGGATAAAGCACCGGCCCTGAAGTCAGGAGGACCTGAGTTCAAATCCGCCCTCAGACCAAACACTTGACATTTACTAGCTGTGTGACCTTGGGCAAGTCACTTAACCCCAATTGCCAAAAAATTAAAAAAAGTAGAAGAGAGGGCATTCCAGAGGGAGGGAACAGCATAAGGAAGAACATGGTGGCAGGGAACATGGGATGCTTGTCACCAGACAGCTTTGCCCAGGGCCTCGTTTCCCTTGGGGTCCTGAGCTCTGAGCCCCTTCTGCGGTCGAGAAGGTTTCCCTGTTAAGGTGGCCTGAGTTGTATCCTCTAAGCCAGCTTCTCTTATCTGATTGGCCTGTTCAAGGGCATGCTGGCCAACACGGGACCCAGACCTACCGCTGGAAGGGGCCTCAGAGGCCGTCTCGTCCAACCCCCTCGTGTTACAGATAAGGAAACTGAGGCCCATAGAGGGAGGTAACTCGTCTGAGCTCACACTGGTAGTGAGTTTTCCAGGTCGGATTTTAACCCAGGTCTCCAGACTCCCACACCAGGTCCCTTCTAGCCTTACCACGCCAGGTCGGGAGGGCCCCAGGGCAGAACTTTTTCTCTAGCATGGGTGACTTTGGGCTCCCTCCTTTTGTGCCCTGCAGAGAGCCAGCAAAGGTCAGAGTCGAGCCATTGAGAGGTTAAAGAAGAAAATGTTTGAGAATGAGTTCTTACTGCTGCTGAATTCTCCAACAATCCCCTTCCGGATCCACAACCGCAATGGAAAGGTGAGCACATCGCCACAGGACAGGCTCCCACGCAGGGCCCGGCCCAGGCGGCCCAGGCGAGATGTCTGGGAACCTTCTGGCCTTTCACTCGGGCAGGCAGCTGTCTGACGGGAGCCCCGTCGGAGGCTGGCAGGGAGGAACCCTCTGCTGTCCAGTCAATGCTGGCTCCCTCTTAAAGGGGCCTTAGAGGTCATTAGGACCAACCCTCTCCTTTGACAAGTGAGGAAACTGAGGCCCGGCGGAATCCAGAATCACCCAGTGTCTGAGGCAGCAGTTTGAACCCAGCGCTTCTGGACTGGAAGCCTATAGCTCTGTCTCCTGCAGAGCAGTATAGGGGTTGGGTAAGCAAGGTCAAAGTCTAGGGACATTTGGGTCAGAGTCAGCGAGGAGGCAGCCCCCGCCCTGCCCAGGTGAGGGCAGGTCTGAGCAATGATTCTGTGGCTTGGCTTGCCCACCAACTCCCCCTGTTGCCACTTCCTCCTTGAAAGCCGCCAGGAGCCACTGGGGAGAGCCTGGCCCCAGCTGGCCCCATGAATTCTCATCTCTCTTTAGAGTTACCTGTTCCTCCTGTCTTCAGACTATGAGAGGTCGGAGTGGAGAGAAGCCATTCAGAAACTGCAGAAGAAAGGTAAAGCCCTGCCCTCCTAATGGGCAGCTGGGAGGTGGGGGGCCTTCACCAGCCTTTGTCATAGAAATAACATCGCCACCTTACACATTTTCAGCTTTTTATGCACTTGTGCACTCTCTCTTCCATTCTCTCTTCCCCTCTCCTCCTCTCCCTCTCCCTCTTCTTTTCTCCTATTCTCTCTCCTTTTCTCTCTGTCTCCCTCTCTCCCCGTTATTTGTCTGTCTCTCTCCTGTTCTCTCTCTTTGTGTCTCTCTGTCTCCCTCTCCCTCTCTCCTGTTCTTTTTCTCATTCACTCTGTCTCTCTGTCTCTCTCTCTCTCTCTCCTGTTTTTCTCATTCACTCTGTCTCTGTGTCTCTCTCTGTCTGTCTCTCTCTCTCTCTCTCCCCCTCCCTCTCCTTCTGTCTCCTGTCTCCTGTGAGGAAGGTGGGGCAGGTACCATTCCCCTCCTTTTACAAAGGAAGAGATTAGGCCCATAGTGATTGCACCACACAGAAGGAAAGCCCCTCCCCTCATTCCCACCCCAGCCCCTCCCCGGCCCCCCCGCTCGTTGGCTATCTGCATGTCCTTACCCTTCTGAGAATGGGAGAGGACCTCAGAACCCATTGAGCTGGACCATCTCGTTGTACAAATGATGAGATTGAGGCCCCCGCAGGTGAAATGATTAGCCTAGTGCATGCAGGGAGAAAGGATAAGAGTCAAGATTTGAACCTGGATCCTCCTGTCTCGTCGGTGCTCTTTCCCCTGTTACTGCCTGTGAGGGACGTCTGGGGCTTTCCTCTTCCTCATTCAATAAGTTCCTTACAGAAGAAGAGAAGTAGGCCCCAGTAGACCTGTGGTAATGATGCCCCTCACCTCCCTGCCCCTTCTGCCTTTTTTTCAGATCTCCAGGCCTTTGTGTTGAGTTCGGTGGAACTCCAAGTGCTCACAGGGTCCTGTTTCAAATTGCGAACTGTTCATAATATTCCTGTCACCAGCAATAAAGATGGTAAGAATGTCAGCTGCTCTCCACTTCTTGGACATCTCCCCTGCTATTCGTGCCCCTCCCTCCTCTGAGTCAGGCCCGTAGAATCGGGAGCCACGGCTTCCAAGAGGCCCCTGGCAAAATGCAAATACCTTGTGGGGTGGGGAGGGCCCTGGATGGTGAGGACTGGCCGATTGCCCCCAGAGCCCGATCTTGAAGCTAACTCCCTTTTTATGAGGTAGGAGTGTGGCTGAGAAACGTCAGTCCTGAAGGAGGGGGATGCTTGAGCGTAGCACCGAGAAGCGTGTGGGTCGGGGTGCCCGGAAGAGGCCTGGACTGAAAACAAACTCTGCCTCTGACCTCTTTTTGTCTGGCCCCAGCCTGGGTGGAGCAGGCCTCAGCCCTGAGTAGTCGCTCCGAACAGCATGGGGGCTTGACCACCAGGTGGCGCTGTCGGACCGAGGCTCTGGTCAGTTTGCTCTTTGTTCCTCAGCTGAGGCCCGGGCTCGAATCTGGAGCCCCTGAGGGAGTGGGCCAGGTTTGTGGGGGCGAAAATCATCATCTCTTTTGGTTCTGTTGCAGATGATGAGGCCCCCGGACTCTACGGCTTCCTGCACGTCATCGTCCACTCAGCCAAGGGGTTTAAGCAGTCGGCCAGTAAGTGCCCAGTGCCCCAGCCCTTGGGGAAAGAAACCAAAGACAGGTCAATCCGTCTCGAGGGTTTGAACCTGTATCCTGGGAGCCTAGAGATAGATAGAGCTGGAAGGGACCTTGGGGGCCATCTTGTCAAACACTCCCATTTTACAGATGGGGAAACTGAGGCCCAGAGAAGCTCAGTGACTTACAGGGTCATGTATTTAGAGCTACAAGGGACCTCTGAGGTCATCGAGTCCAACCCCATCGTCTAATGGAGGCACAGATCATCTAAGTGGATAAGCCTAGAGCCACTCAGCAAGTAAGGGTCTGAGGTAGGATTCGAACTCGGGCCTTCCTGACTCAAAATCCAGTAATGCCCCGTCCACTATACCATGCTGCCTCTAGAATCATAGATTTAGAGCTGGAAGGGACTTTAGGGCCCGTCAAGTCCAACCTCCTACATTTTACAGTTGAGGAAACTGAGGCCCAGGGAGGTTGAATGACTTAGAATGATAGATTTAGACCCAGAAGGGATGTTATAGGCGTAGGCTATCTAGTCTTCCCTCACCCCATTTTACAGATAAGGAAACTGAGGCCCAAAGAAGTAATTTGCCCAGAGTCACAGAACCAGTCTCTGAGGTGGAATTGGAGTCTAGATTTTCCTAATTCCAAGTCTAGCAGCTTATCTGAGAGAATGCGTTCTAGGCCATGAATGATGCCCAGGGTGGGAGGCAGCATGTTGAATTTCAGGAATAGCAAATTGTCCAGTTTGTCTGTGGTCTAGCATAACTAAGGAAGCAGTGTCTGGAATGGTAGGCTTTGAGCCATAAATGCTGCTCCCCAGGCTACACCTTGATGAAGGGTCTGGGGGCGGCTAGGTGGCACAGCGGATAGAGCACCAGCCCTGAAGTCAGGAGGACCTGAGTTCAAATCTGGCCTCAAACCAAACACTTGACACTTACTAGCTGTGTGACCCTGGGCAAGTCACTTAACCCCAATTGCCTAAAAACAAAGAAACAAACAAACAAAAAAAACCTTCCAGGCGAAGGGTCTGCTGCATGCTGGGAGATTCCCTTAGGTGGGCTTCTGCTGTCTTCCTCCAGCAACAACTGAAAGAATTCTTCTCTCCTTCCCCTGAAACTGGTTGGTGTAGGTAATGTTAGACAAGGGCATTGGCTGTCGAAATACGTTTAACATGATTGCACGTGTATAACCTATATCATATTGCTTGCCATCTTGGGGAGGGGAGAGGGAGAAAAATTTGGAACTTAAAATCTTATAAAAAATATTAAAAACTATTTTTACACATAATTGGAAAAAATAAAATTCTATTTTAAAAAACTCCAAAAGAAAGAAAAGGGCATTAGTCAAAATCCACCTCCTGAATTGGTGTTCTCCATGAGGCAAGCTAGTGTTGAACATAAGCCCCTTGAGGCCAGGAGGCCTTTGGTTTTGTCTCTATATCCTCAGTACCCAACACACTGCCTTGTATACAGTAGACTCTCAATAAATGCGCGTTGAATTAAATCCAAAAGCGTCCTGACACACTAGGACTCTGGGCTGAATAGAGGAAGGTGAAATTCAGGAAGAAGGGATAAAGGTAGCGTCTCATACTTGGGTACGAGAATGAGTTTCACATGCACAAGATGGCGGAGGCCTGGCTCTGCACAAGATGGAGGGGTTTTAGTGGACTGCCGGCTCAGTCTGAGTCAGTGCGTGCTGGGGCAGCCAGAGGCTAATTCGGGGAGGCGTGGTTTCCAGGATTAAGACATTTCCACTGCACTCTGCCTGGGTCAGCCCTGTGGGGACTATTTAGTTAGGGCTTAGTTCTGGATGCCACAGTGTAAGGGAGACCTTGATAAGCTGGAGAGTAACCAGAGAACAAGAAAGATGAAGGACTTTTCGGAGGACCCGACGCATTTAGATTGGGGAAGAGAAGGCTTGGGTGGGTGTTGGGAATGGGGAGAGTACCATCCAGGATGACTCAGAGGTGGGATTCAAATCCAGGTCCTCTTATCCTAGAGGCGTAGGGCTCTACCCCACTGTCCAATCTAGGTTTGATATCAGGAAGAACTTCTTGGCCGTTAGAGTTGTCCTAAAGAGGAACTGGCCGTCTTAGGAGGCATGCAGTGTGGGCATGACCAGGGCACAGCTGGAAGACTATTGGATTAAGGACCTCTGGTATGGCCCCAGTTCTCCCATTCACTGGCTGCCCATGTGACCTTGGACAAGTCATTTCCTATTTAGGGTTCAGTCTCCTCACTGGTCATACAAAGGGATTTCTCTTCAGCATCTCCAAGGTCTCTTCCAGCTATAACATTCCATAGTTCATAAGATTATAGATTTAGAACTGGACAGGGATTTTCAAAATCAAACAAACGTCTAGACTAGGGGTTCTTAACCTGGGGTCCACAGATCTCCAAAGGGTCTGTGGATAGATTTTGGGGGATCTGTGAACTTGGAACCTTTAATATTTTGACAGCTGTATTTCGATGCAATAGGTTTCCTTTGTAATCCTATGTGATGTATTTTATGCATTTAAAAACCTGATTCTGAGAAGGGGATCCCAAGACTTTACCATAGAGTCATTGGAGGGGGCTGTGACACACAGAAAGCAAAGAGCCCCTGGTCAAGGCCAGCCTCCTCATTTATAGATGAGAAAATTGAGGCCACTGGAAACGAAGTTGACTTGCCCAAGGTCACACAGGTAATAACCATCAGAGAGGGGATTTGTACTCAGGTCTCCTTAATTCAGAGAGGGGGTTTTTTACTCTATTTCTTCTCATGGAGGTGTGAGGAAATAAGAGTGCTGTGGCAGCTAGAATAGAGCTCTGGCCTTGGAGACTGGAAGACCCGAGTTCCAATCTTGGTTCAGGCACTTATTGGCTGGGTAACTTTGGGCAAGTTACTTTCTCAGCCTTGGTTTTCTCATCTGCAAAATGGGAATAATATAGCACTTACTTTCCAGGGTTGTTGGGAGGATCAGGATCAAATGAGATAATTCATGTCATCACTTTGCAACTTAAAAAGTGCTGTACATAATGCTAAAAATGATAATTAAGTAATTATTATTATTACTACTACTAATTCCAAGAGCAGCAGATTTAGAATCAAGAGAGTTGGGTTCGGATCCTGGTCCTCCCCTTACTGTGTGACCTTAGGCGAATCACTTCCCTGCTTGGTTGTTTCATTTTGTGGTGGTGAAGTCTCTCTAGCTAATGTAAAATGGGTGTCCCAGTGGGTCTTATTTATTTCCGCATCATACCCCAGCTACCTGGCCCTGCCTGCCACCTGGGTCCCAATCAGAGTCAGCATCACCCTTCTAATCTCTAATCACCCTTCATTCTGCTCACTATAATAAAGGCGTGATGTACAGTTTTTAAAAATAAGAACTTTGAGCTCAATGATCTTTAAGATCCCTTCCAGCCCTGACAATGGGCTTATGATCTCGGATGGTCCTTCCTGTTTCTATTAGTATCCTTCCCCCACGTCCTGTCCCACTGGGACATTTAATTTTGTCTGCCTTGGTTATTTTTGGACTTGGGCAGTGCTTTCAGGCTGTGTCTGACTGTTGGGGTTCCAGGACCTTCTTCTGCTCTAAAAGGGCCCATACAGACCCAGTTTTCTTCAAACGGGGTGCACTCCACCCCCTTGCTAAGTAAGGGTCCATGCCCCAAGACAGGCAGCAGACCTCAGATCCTCCTTCTCTGGCCAGCATGCTGAATCGTTCCCTGGTTTTCCAGGCTTCCAGAGCTTTGGATGACTTGGGGATTTCTGGTTTCACCTGCTTATTCATCTTTCTTTCTCCATCTCCCCCAGCCCAAACATGAACTGAGCCCTCAGGGCTTATGGTCAAGAAAAGTCAGTCTTGGCTGGAGGCTGAGGGGCTTGAGGAGTGGCTCCTCCCACCCGTCCCCCTTCTGCCATGTTAAATCCCTCCTGATGGAAAGCAGCCCCAGAGCTCATGCTTTGATGCTGATGGGAGTCGTGTGATTCATGGGGTCTGAACAGAGCAGGAATCCTCAGGTTTTATCTCCAGGCCACTGATCTCTCACTTCAGAGCCACAGCCCCCACTTGGCTGTTCACCCTCATGCCTCTTGCTGCACACAGTCAGTGGAAGGAGCAGGGAGATCTTCCTTTTCCTATAGGAAGACCCCGGGGGTAAGAGAGCGGTTCCCAACAGGAAGCCAGCTGCCCCCACCATCGAGAACCCCCTTATGGGGTGAAGCAGTCAGGTAGATGTCAGGCTTGCCCACGTGTCCTCCTTGGCTCGTTTTCTTTGGCAGTCTCAGCCCCACTAGGGAGCATAAGAGGCCACCCACTAATGGGACGTGGAGAGAGCTGAATATATTGGGAAAGAGCACTAAACATGGGGACAGTCAGGTGACTTTCTTGGGCCTTAGTTTCCTCATCTTCAAAATGGGAGGATTAGCCTAGATATCTCTCCTTGAGTATCTGTCTCTTTCCCTTTGTGGAAGGGGTCCTAGTCATGCTTATCATTTGTATATTGCTTTATTTATGGTTACAGAATGCTTTTCCATAATAAGTTCATTTAATGAATGAACTGATGAAAATATTTCTATGGGCTAAGCATTCATCTCAGTGCTGGGGAAACTAATAGAAGAAGAAAAAAGTGAAAAAAAACTCTTGGCCTCATGAAGAGATTCCTTCTCCTACTCCTTTATGGAAGGTAGGGGTTCACAGGTGTGGAACGGGGCTTTTTTTTTTGATGTGTTGATTAGTTTTGTTGAATTTTCATCCCTTTCTTCCTCTTTTTCTTTCTTTGACATTAAGGATGGTACTCTGGGAGGAAATAAATGTAGGATACAGAGATATAGAAACAAGCAATGTCAATAAGATTACTTTCTTGGGAAAAGAAAAAGGAAACAGTTTTTGTTTTCAAGGGGCTTACCCTCAAATTAGGGAAGATGTATATAGGACAGATTCTCAAAAAAGCCCCACGAGGGAGTCGGGGTCAGAGTTGTAATCCTCCTTTTTATTGGATGAGAAACACAAGGGTCTCCAAATGATTCAATCCAACCCCCTGATTTTAACAGAGAGCACTGAGGCCCAGAGAAGAAATTACTGGCCCACCCAGATACTTAGCAGGAGGGAGAAATTCAAGGTCTGTCTCACTCCCAAATCCCAGGCTCTTTCTATCACACCACATTGGCTTCTACAACCCTACCTGTCTTCCTCTAGCCCAGTCCTTTAATTTTACCGACGACGAGACTGAGGATCAGAGAAGTGATTTCACCCAAGGTTCCAGTCAGGTTTCCTGATTCCCTATGCTCCTTTCTGTTATACCATACCATACTGTCCATCAGTATGTTGCTATGGCTCTCTCCACCCCCAAACCCCCATTCCTGCTCCCCAAAAGCCTCAGTGCCCCTTTGCTTTCCCTTTCGTCCCCAGACTTGTACTGTACGTTAGAGGTGGACTCATTCGGCTATTTTGTCAGCAAAGCAAAAACCAGGGTATTTCGGGACACAACGGAGCCTCAGTGGAATGAGGTGAGTGCAGGGGAGGGAGGGAGGGAGATGGGAGTACTGGTGTCCCCACAGGGAGACCCCAACTCTAGAGAACGGAGCCCCTTGTCCTCTGAGTGTGTGTGATCGGACCCATTGCAGAAGCACATGTTCGCCAGTTATTTGGGGAGGATCCCATTTAGCCAGGGCTGGGATTGTGTGGGCCAGGTGGGCAGAGGCCCAGCCATCCCTTCTGCTCTCTGGTCCTTGGCTGCTTCTAGTGGCCCCCAAACACCATTGTACCAGTCTCTCAGATGAGCCTGAGGGACTGCTCCACTCGGGCCCCTCCTGGAGGCAGTTTGGAGACCTAGGAAGGATTTGGAAGGTCTTGGTGACTCTTTGTTCTCCGCTCCCCCTAGGAGTTTGAGATCGAGTTGGAGGGCTCTCAGTCTCTGCGGATCCTCTGCTATGAGAAATGCTACGATAAGACTAAAGTCAACAAGGACAACAATGAGATCGTGGACAAGATCATGGGCAAAGGACAGATCCAGGTCAGATGCTTGGTGGGGGCTGGGCGGGGGTTGGCCCTTCCGTGTGCTACTGTAGAATATAATCCACATTCATTAAGCGCCTCCTAGGTGCCAGGCACTGTGCTAAAATCTAGGGATATGAGGAAGGAAAAGAAAGACAGCCCTGCCCCCCAGGCACTTATATTCCAATAGTGAGTACTCCAAAGCTTTAAAGAAAGAGGCCCCCAGCTGGTTTTCCTCCTGTGCTGATCTGTTCCTCTGGTACCTCAAAGTTATGCTGGCCTACTCCAGGACAGGTAGAAGATCTCTAGGCTTTGGGTGGGGTGAAGGGGACCAGGATCCTGCTAGGCACTGGGGAGTAGACGCTGGGCTTTGCAGAAGGGGCCCCACCTCATTCATCTGCCCTTGTTCCTGACCCGTGTCTCCTGCCGGCCACGGACCCCGCTCGTCTCATTGGCTTGTCTTGACCGCAAGCTTTCTTTTGATCATCGTGTCTTTACTATCAGAAGGAGATTTCTGCTTTCTCTTTTGAGTTGTTTCTTCTGCAGTGGTGTTGGGTCACACTGAGCCATCTGCACTCCCCGGCCTGGTCCGTCCATCCCCGTCCCCACCCCATGTATATTTATCTATAAAATGAATGACCTGGTTGAGGGGTCACCTCTCTGACTGGGGCGCTGCATGAAGCTCCTGAGCCTCTAGGAGTGCAGCTCGAGGCCTCATTAATGCCATGCTCTGCTCGCTGTAGCCGTCTGGCCACTTCCTCTGTCAGGAAGGAGAGAACGCTTCTCCAGCCGGTGTGCACAGTGTCCCTAGAGATGGCCTCTGCTCGGACGGGGAGCTTCCCGGGCTCCGTTGCTGGCTCTTAGCTGGATTGTCTTAGTTCTCTGCCCAGGATGCAAGGAGAGGAACGAGGTCGGCTCTCTGCCCTCCTCCCCCCAGAGCCAACAGCATGAGTTTGGTTGGGGTGAGGAGGGTGGTACAGAGCGCCTGCCTGTCTGCCTGCCCTCCCCTCCTGTTGCCACTCACCACAGTGTCCTGAGTGTACCAGGCCTGCTCCTTTCTCCTTGGCACTGTCACCAGGGAAACCAGTGCTGCCAAGACAACCGCAAGCTGGTGCTTTGTTATGGAGGGAGCCATGGGGGTGGGGAGAGAGAGAGGGAGAGAGACAGACAGAGAAACAGAGAGAGAGAGACAGAGACAGAGAGAGAACACAGAAAGAAAGAGAACACACAGAAAAAGGGAGGGGGCATAGAGGTGAGAGAGAGAAGGAGAGAGAGAGAACACACGGAGAAAGGGAGGGAGGGATAGAGGTGAGAGAGAAGGAGAGAGAGAGAACACACGGAGAAAGGGAGGGAGGGATAGAGGTGAGAGAGAGAAGGAGAGAGAGAGAACACACAGAGAAAGGGAGGGAGGGATAGAGGTGAGAG